TGCCGATTTTTTTTCCCGCAATACTTTTATCTAACTCTAAATAAAATATTTATTTTATCTTGAAATAATATGTAATATTTTATTTTGTATATATATTTTAATGATTTGCACACTTCTGAGGTATAAAATTTATATTTTTAAGTAAATTAAAAAACATTTTATTTCGTACCATGCCTGTATAAAATTAATGCTTTTTTGAATAACCTTTAGACATAAAAACTTAGTAATAATATTTTTATTCTGTCGTGTAATATACGTACTTGTACACAGTTATGTGATATTAATATTCCAGTAAAACGTTTAACAACTATTTAATGTAAACAATTATTTTTTAGATTTCGTCACTAAAAACAAGTTAATATTTCATTCTTGAGTTTCTATGAAAATTACACTTCTAAAACATTAGCGTCATATATATTTGTTGTGAATGACGTATTTTCAATTTTTTTCGTGGGGAGGAGGAAGCACTTTTCTATAAAATAAGTATCTTTGTAATATAATAAAAAATACGTATAAAGTATGAATAAATAATTTTATAGTTATATTATTATTATAAATGCAACTGGAGGGCCTTTATAATAAAAAAGGTAAACGTATTTTTCACCAGTTCATTAATAATTTCTTCAGTTGTAATTAAGTAGGTAATTTTTATATATTGATAACATTACTAAATTATAACCTTTTTTTTTTCTTCTGGAGATGTCAAAATTCGAGAATTTCTCTTCTCCTTAAATACGTCATTGTTTTTCTTACATATTTGGTATAGTATACGTTGAGGACGAGCAGTTAAGTTTGACTATATTATAATCGTAACCCATTTATAGTACGAGCGTACACAATGATTATAGCTTTTTTATAGTAACATTTTGCAAAGAGTGAGATACTTTCATTTTGAAGCTCAAAATTTCGTCTAATAAAATAACTTCAACAGGTCGCTGAAAATTTCATTTCATTACTTTTTACAAGCTATTGCGAATTATAATTCCTAGGAACGCATCGCTCCAAACACTCCAAGTTAATTAATATATTTAATGTTTATGAATGCACAGTATTGTTAAAACATTTCATCAAAATAGTATAACAAACGGATGCATTTTTCATTATTTGTATTTTCCGTAACCATGTATATATTATATTATATTTATACCGAGAGAAGATAGTATGAAATTGGACTATATTTTATTTAAGATAAAAATGTTATATTATTTAATACATAGTAAAGCATAAATGATAAATTCATACTTCGCATTTTGCATCGTCACCACAGTATTGTTAAAATTATTATTTTAATGGAAAGGAACAATAAAAAAAAAGTCATCTCATTTTCCGTATCCGTGAATTTTTTCCATTATAATGTAGTATTATTTCCTTCGACTGTAGATTTATTACAAGAACAAATTTACAATTATTTTATTCAGATACCATGAATTTATCATTTACAGAGAAAACATTAATATACGTATAGTACATCGCAAAGTATATGGGTAGAGTAACATATCTTATTTCGTGATTTGATGCGTTGTACGAGCACATATGTATTATATACACGAGCGATGTATGCTTTATTCTTTTTCTTTTTTTAGTTTTATTTCCAAGATCATATTATTTATTCTCTTATTATTATCATTGGAACTCATCGCGCGCATATTGTTATGTTAGTCGTATCGGACTATTGATATCGTCGAACTTTGAATTCGTTATTCGCATCAGAAATATAAAGAAGACTATAGAAAGACTATAAGAAGAAAAATTGGATTTCACATCCATTTCTCCCGCCAATAAAAGAATTACGATACCGACTACATACATACGAGTATATATATATGACTTGCACCACTGTATACTTAAGATTACTTCGATGTGACAGTGCTTTTATTCTTTCATACGGCAGATAAAAATAAAAACTTTCCATTCACACCGAAATTCTTTTTCATTAAGTGCGCGCGACGAAATAATCCTTTTCCCCGGGCGAGATCATCGCTGTGTCCGTCAAAAAATAATTTCATCCCTACTATGCATGATTTCGTAATAATTTTGAAGCTTTATGTCATATTTTGACGTAATAATATCATAAATATAGATGTCGGTTGGTTGTAGGGCTTGAAATCGAAATAAAAAATTTCGATTTTAATTTCAATTTTGATTAATGATTTAGTTTTTTTTTTAATTTCGATTTTGGTTTCTAATATTGATATTTATTTTATGCAATTTTGTTTTTGATTTCGAATATCGATATTCATTTTTTTCAATTTCGGTATCAGAAATCGGTATTTAATTTTTTTTCGATTTCGGGTTCACAACAGAATGTTATTCATAACTTATAATAATTTCTCAAATTTTAATAATTATCAGCATAATAGTGTTGTATGCTGTAGCGAACTGCATAAGTACAAAATAAAACTATTTTAGGTTATTTAATTGTACATTGTTGGTTCGTCGAGACGATGAAAACCGAGAGTAAAATTGATTTGGAAATTATATTTTATCATAAAAACGTCGTCGGCAAGCCACGTGATACAGTTCCCGAAGACGCTGCCGCACGACTTCTCGCTGTCGATCTGTAGAAAACGATTACATGCGCTCCAGTTAAGTCTAGTCTATAATAATAATAATAACAACAATAGTTGTTTATTTTTAGAACTATTCTAATAATAATGAGTAACTTCTATTATTATACTGCGTGCGGTCCCCGTTGTCGAGTATTGTATTGATGTATATTACATAATTTATATTACACACACACATCTGTACGAGTATATTTAATTATATGTTTATAGTAGCAAAATTATATATAATACAGAAATATTAATAATAACATAATAATCAATGTTTTTTATTTTTTTTTTTTTTTTGTGAAGTTTTGGACCATTTAAAAATCAAAATATGTGATCGATAAGGTATCTATCCTGGTTCTCGTAAAAACGAATTGTATTTGTAGATTTATTGTTCGTTTTGTGAAATGAAAATATTAATAATAATTTTTTTTTTTTGGACTCAGACAAATCGCATTGGAATTCACATGAAATATTGATGACATTTTGTTTGGTGTGCGCCCGCGATTTTATTATACCATACAGCGTTTGCGTGCGGCTGTTTTCGTTTATGTACATTCGCACAGTTCGTTATCAGTGCATGATTATTGCACACGTCGCATCATATTATTTGAATGACTAATATTTGTGTTTCCTAACTACTTTTCACAGTTATCAGCTGTCGGTACTGTCTGTCTACCCGGAAACGTTGTTTCCGTGCGTAAGCGGTGACAATGGAGCGTTAAAAAGTACAAGATATAATATTTCGAACCGTTTATTTTTTTAATTTTTTTCTCGATATGATTGTGTCCGTATTCATTAAAAAAAAATATATATAATACATAGTAGAAAAATAAAATATCGTATTGATTATAATACACATTATACTAGATAGTCCCGCGAAATATATTGGAGATAAATAGATCAGTACTGTTTTCAGTTTTGGCGTGTTGGAAACGCGTATAGTCAGTCGCGAGTTCTAACCTAATCTTTTTTAATTAAACTCCGCTAAACTATGGAAAACCTTCCCATCCGCGGAACTAACACGTGGTAAACATGACAAAAACATCAAAACCCTCGTAATGATCTGTATGAAGGCATAAAATCCGTTATTGTCAAAGGGTCGGTGCTCTGTGGTCATGGAATTAATCGCCACGCGTTGCATGAAAATAAAAAAAGAAATTCTCACGCGTCATCGATGTTTTGATTGTACTTCGCGTACTCACTCTTGCAGAAACAGATCATGCCGTGTTCTTTGACCTCGGGAAGGGAGTTGTTTTGCGGTGGTCAAGTCGTTTTATAATCGAAAGGCGAGCAAATAAAACACACCCTTCTTGCGTTGATTGGTATACAATGAATCGGGAACACATATAATATGCATTATGAGACCGTCGTAAAAGTTTCAGGTATCGGTGGCCCCGGATTATAGGGTCGTTGCAAGAATAAATTAAAAATATGAATAATGTATTATATTTTTACAGTATAATATGGAGAAGGGCGTAGAAAGCAAACTTTTTAGGGTCATTTCTGGCCGTATTTTTAAACGTGTCGTTATACGGGTAAAAGCAAGTAAATCCAATAACTGAAAATTAGGGCGTCCATCAATGTTTTTAGTGTATACGCTTATTGCCGAAACAATTTGCAGATCACATAAACAATGCCCGACGAAAAGATTAAACGGAGTATTCATGTCAGATATTTATGTAGGCAGTTCTCTATTATTTATCAAACAGATAAAACTACCACTAAACCAGACAATAAAAGGAAAAAAAATGGCTCATAGTAGGACATAAGTATCATAGGTTTTGTAAATCATTTGTACAGGTTATTTTGTATTCTTACAACTTGTTTACGTTGGCACAATCTCTGCTCTGATGGGTAAATTAAATAATAATACATCGATAGAACTTTGTAAAATCTTTTTAATAAATAAAAAAATTGAAATTAAAACGTCATGGAGGAGAACACGGAGAAGCCGAATACTGCGATGTCTTGAAAGCGGCATCCACCCCGACGGGGAAAACAGTGGCGGTTCTTAAGAAAGACCGAAGGGGGCAATTTTTGATTTTTTTTACGTCAACTGTTAAGTTTCTTACGTCGTGTTGTTTTCACGATTATGTTCAAACATCGAATTGATAACAATAGACGAATATATGTTATTGAAAAATACGACTAGAATTAATAAGGATTATAGTCGAATTTATGGACTTTTTAGTATATTTTATGTTCCGATTGAATTAAACTGTTCGAACTATGAAATAAAAAAATGAAAGTCATGTCGTTTATAACACGAACAAATCTTAATTCTCTTTTCGATACACGTAATCATAGCATGAGGGGGGGGGGCGTAAGATTTAAAATAGCCCTTCGCCCCTTCAATTTTCTATAAAAACCGGGGCTGATGGTTGCTGGTAGGGGCGAGTCGTACGACGGTACGAGACTGATGCGTTGTCCGCTCGTTGTTCGCAGTTGGAACGGTGATGGTACTGATGGTGGTGACGGTGGTCGTGCTGGGTACCGTCGGGCTGCTCACCTGCGTGCTGCACCATTACAACCAACAATACAATCCGGCCGTGCCGTGTCTGCCGTCGGCCACGTCCGGGCCGCAGCACCACAGGCTCTCCACGCCGCAGCCGCCGCTGCCGCCGCCGTCGTTGACCAAGAAGAAAAAACCGCGGCCGTCGCCGTCGCCGCCGACGACGACGACGACCAGCACCAACTCGACGACGATCGTAGCGCCGTCGAACGGAAGCAGCAGCAGCTTTTGCGGCACCACTACGTGCTCGCGAACCGCCGTAAGTGACACGATATGTATATGTATGTGTGCCGTACGTAAGCAGTAGCAGTAGTGGTAGTGGTACCGCCCACTTTGCACCCGTCGCGATACCGCGTACCGATTTTGTTTATTGTTGTTGTTGTTGTTGTTGTTGTTGTTATTAGCGTCCGCGGCCGCTTTGTTTACCGCGGTCCGGTCGTGTGGCAACGTTAGCGCCCGAGTGGTCGCACTAGGAACGTATCGATTTGCGCGCGCGGACAGGGTCTTGCTAGTAGCAACGCGTGCACAGTTGTCGTCGTACCGTGTGGCCGTGCAGAGGCCCGGACCCGAGTGCTAACGCGGCGCTCTGCGACGAAGACGTTTGTTGCGGCGGTGCCAAGTTTTCCTATCGCACCGCTGTCATGTGTGCCACCGTGGTCGTTTACCGCGCGCGCGACGATGCAATATCGTACGGTCGTAACCGATTCCGTTCACATGCGTTTTATACGCGTCTTAGGGCCACGGGAAGGGTTTAGCCCAGGGTTCGGCAACTGGCGGAACGCGGAAGGCAATACTCTGGACCCTGTTAACTTATATTTTCATACTGATAATATTGTAATTTTCAATATAAATCAATGGTAATAACCAAATAATCATCTTTATTTTTATACTACTATTTTTAAAATATAAAGATTTGAAAAAGATTTTTTTACTGGACCTCATTGATTTATTATTTTAAACTTTAGGACTCCAATGTAAAATACTTGCCGACCCCTGGTTCAACCCTATGACCCTGCGATGTTTTCGTTGGGGTTTAACTCATTTCGTTCGAATCGCACGATAACGTACTACGTACGGGTCGAAAACGATTCATTCCGAAGCCGTACGACGATTCGTGAAACGGTGTAGAACGAAATAAAATGCACTAGTTAATATCTTACATATTTTCAATGCTCAGACCGGGTCGGCCGCTAACGGTCCGTCCTGTTTATTTCTAATGTCTCCGGTACGTGTGCATCCTCTCGAAGACGCATCCGAGTGCGAACGCGTTCAATGCTACCGGTAATTTATACGTGAATATAAATAAAGTGTACTTCAACAGACGTAAACCTTGAAATTATTTTCGATTCGATTACCGTCCACGAACGTATTCGCCCGTCGAACCCGTTACACTTAACCCATAAGATTTCGATCGGTTAGTTGTATCTCTATGCCAGAACGGTAGCTAATTTGATAGCTAATTCAAATATCTAAATACTTGAAATTAGGTATACTTGTATAAGCCGATGTAGGAAATAATATTGAACTCAACACGTTGTTACTGTTTATGTTTGAGTTTTATTTGATTTCGTAGGGGCTCAATTTCTGTAACTTTTGGAATACATATATGTATATGTATGATTTTAATTTTTTTAAAGTCTTAACGTTGTGCTTTAGACGATAAAAACTATACCGTTGTTTTGTCACAACCGTCCTTTGGCATAATCACTTCCATAGGTGTTAATATTCATCGCGCAAATCTCGCATTCAAAATATACCACTACGTATTGAACGGAGTAATGTTACGAAAACATCGTTGACATGATTAATTCCACAGAACCGTAACAACTTGGATCGCGTAACTTTCGCGTTCGTACGCGATCCCCATTGTGTATAATGTGTGCAGTGGTTTATATATACATGGTACGTATATATTACTCGGATCTTTCTTACGTCCATTCCGCACGGACGGTGTATAATACATATATGTATGTATAAGGTTTTGTTTCCCCTTCGGACCGAGCGAGCCGCCATTTTTTCTCCGTACATCCGACGCAGAAAAACGGGAAAACGCGTCGGTCCACCCCATAGGGATAGATATATAACCACACCAATCTTTCCCCGTGTACACACGTATCCCCTTTGTGCGCAAGGGTAGGATGCGTCTGCGGCGACGTACGCGCGTACAACGAGGCGAGTTCATCTGCGAGTCTTTGCGGACGAAGAGGTTGTTTTTCTGCTGTTTGCCGCGTCGATCGCGTTTGTTCTTCGTTTCGGGAAAACTCACACGCTCCTGTCATCAACGCGCACAACGACAACGAACACTGTTTTCGCCGCAAAACGGTTTCGGCGTGACGAGTCCTTGCAGCACAGGTACGCGCGAGACAAAAAATTACCATTTTCGTCTACGAATGTTTTCGCGAAAAGCGTTCACACCACCGTACGGCATCTGCCCGCGAGTTTTTCGATGTTTTTTCGCGCGCGCACGCGGACGTATTTCGCGCTAAAACATTTCATTAGCCTTTCGTGATATTTTGTCGATAATAACAAATAAGTTGAGTATGGGGTTTCGTGCTTGTTCGGTTAATTTTTCGGTTAGGCTTAACCAAAGCGGGTGTTTCCTTATTGCACATACAACTAGGTTTTAAGTCGGCGAATAATATTTTTAAGTTTGTATCGTTTTTCGTTTGTTTCGTTTTATTGTTTTTTTTTTTTTTTTAATTTATTTTTTGTTAAAATGTTGTCTGAAAACCAAATTTTTGACATTCAAATCTTCTAACTCGATGTACGAAGATGTTGGACAGCAAATAGTAACTTTGTTCATTATATTAACTTTTAATGCTTTCATTTATTATCGTTGTTGATTTTTTTTTATTTAAAATAAATATTTTTTAGATGAAAAATGTATTAAATATTCAAAACGTTAAAGTGTTCATATTACAAATAATCAATTTATTTTGATATTGTAAAATATTTCCTCCTTGCTTATAGATATTATGTTTACCATTGCATTTAATACATTTTATACTTAAAAATAAAATATAAATAATAGATCGAAAAGTACTCGTACTTAGTTAAGTTATATTATAAAATTTGATGACCTAATGTTTTTAACCGTTTTGCTTACAAACTTATTCATCTCGCAAATCCCAAGAACAATATATATGTATATTTAATATTATTAATCATAATTAGTTACAGAGATCGAAAACTAACTATTTTTTCACCTGTACAGTACGGCAATTACAACTCTAAGGAAAAAATAAAAAGTTTAAAATACTAAACGATAAGACTTTGATAATAATATAATCTTCGTACACTTTAATAACGGTTTTCCTATGCGTATCCACTCGCTCATAGTACATAATCCATTTATCCACATGACGTATTTTAACAAACGACTTGATTTTTTTTTATTATTGTTAGTGAAATATCATACACACAGCAGACGCGTATACAATTCTGTGCGTTAAATTAATAGTTGATGAATATTAAAAAAAAAAAAAAAAAAAAATGTATTCAATCGCTTTTTTGTTTAATTGAATACGCTTGTCTATCACTTTCCTTTTCAATCACTCTTTCTCTCTCTGTCTCGTTTTTTCGCTTTCCATTCGTGTTTGGACTCATATAATACAAGTTTACCGGCAGAATATTTATTATTATATCGCGGTACGAGTTACAATAATACGGAAACCGGTTGGTCGTATATTTTCCATCCGTCCGTTCATACCGGATACTTTCCACGTTTGTCTCGGACAGGCACTGAGTGATAGAAATGAAAACGGAAAAAACCGCACACTCTATGCGTTAGAACGATGTGCTCACGAGTTGAATCGAGAGACGATTTTGTTAGCGTTATGCTATTATTGCTGGAATATGACGAATTTCGTCGGCGGCGCGGGGTGGTTGTGAGTTCCAGGGGTAGAGAGTGACATAGGGGACGACGAACAAGAGGGAAAAAGAGTAAAATAAACGGTCGCGCGCGAAAGGGAGATTAGTAAACAACACACGTGCACATGTACGCGAACGGAACAGCCCTTCCACCATTGTCTGTGGGAGCGGTCGTGCTCCCTCGTCGCAGGACGCGTCACAACTCGTACGCGCGGGGACGCGACCCAGAGTTTTCCCACCCGTACGGGAAAAAAGGACGAGGCGCGTCGTTGGGGGAACCTTTGAGTTAACGGTTTTTTTTTCCACTTGGGCGTGTGCATACGCAGCGTACCGCATCGGCAGTGTTCGTAGGCTCGGCGTCGGTCGTCAGCCACGAGTCGGCGACGGACGAGCACCGTTACGGGGTTGTCGAGGGGACAAAAAAAAAACCAACCCGACCGCGTCGCACGGTCGAATAGCGCGATGATCGGACGCACGCGTTGGTTACGGCGTTAGAGGCCACCGTACACCCCATCAAATTCGTGCGCTCACGACGAGACACGTATTCACATGCAATAATATATAATATAATATTATCTCTGATGGTGTACAGATGCTGACAATGCGAAGCAACAACGGGCTGACTCGGGAACACGACCGACAAGTCCGGTTGCACTCGGTGCGCACCGACCTGGAGCTGGATCTGCCGCCGCGGATCCACTTGCCGGACGGCGAGGAGTACCCGTACGGAAGCATGGCCAAGTTGCATCTGCGAAACTCCGAACAAGTACGTAAACACACATAATTTGCTTTGGCACGGTCGGCTAATGTTACCCGTCGTGCGAGTTATCGTCTTATAAGACCTTGTGACTAATATCGCTTGCACCTGTAGGAACAGGAGATATACCAGAAGTGCATCAGGGGACCGCCAAACCGGACCATATGGCCGTCGGCCGCGGACTGCGGAAAACTGTCGCAGCCCCTTAGGTCCAGTTCCGCGTCGGGATTCACGTCGCTGTCCACGTCCTCGACCGAAGTGGACTCGGTCACCAGATGCAACAGTGTGTTCTCCAGGTATACGTGAGTATATTTTTCGCGCATGCTCGACGGTATCGGTTGCGTACTGCTACTGCAGTGACGATGGCAAACGTTTGAAATTAATTTTTTTTTTTTTACTCGACTTAATTATGTCCCGCCTACGCGCGTAAGGGAATTATCCGCCGCCGGAGTTGGTGTAAAGAGAAATATGTTATTACATAATTAATTATGTGCAGCTACGAGTACTTACAGTATAACTGCAAAAGACCCGTACGATCTAACCGCGACCGGACCTCATTCCCGACTCCACGCGGTGTCGTACAACATTTTGGTGGTCACCCGACCGCGTAATGTAATGATGAATGTCTAAAGCCCTGGTGCAGGATCTTGTTGACTTTCGCTTTTATGCCAAAGCGACTGTAAGAGTACAACGGAACCGGGTAGCCTTTTGGATTGTTCATATTCGGGTTCGGTTGTAAACCTCTACAGCACCGACCGAACAACCGCTCTCGTGGCGATACCCACGAACCGAAAACGTCGACGGACACTCCTCAAAGTCTCTCTCGAACCGGTGTTCATGATCCATCACGTATCACTACTACTTACCGTGCCCAGGTCGTGTTCTTTTCGTTTGCTACTTATCTAGTTTTGGTTACGTATTATACCCGTTAGTCGTATGAAACCTATAACGATCGGTGGTAACCACACACGATCGAAAGTTGGACGAAATCACGGTTCTTCGGTAACACATAAACCGTAATACCAAAATGTGACCCCGCCATTCGGTGACGGTTACTTGTATTTTACTCTTAAACAGCACGGGTTTTCGACTACGGTAATCGCCCCATTTACGCGTACAATACCCACACAATCGGCTCGCAGCTCGTCACCGTAGCTCGTCTTACTAAAAACTCATACCTACGGTAAAAATCTTTCGGACGCCGATCGCCATCACAGCCACCGCCGTATGGGTACGTGTCCCGCGTCAGATCGTTGTCGAACGGAGACCAGCAGTTCTCAACTTTAACGTGTCAACCCTTACCATCGTCATTAACACCCCTTACGTGTTCAAGAACCCGGAAACTAATGATGCAGCGGACACTCGTCGGTACCCGTAAGTGCGAAACTGCATCGTCAACGGTCGATACGAAGAGTAGTAGTGTCGGCTAGTTCAGCTCAACAACAACTCATCGACTTCAATCGTTCACATGAATGTCGACCGACTAGTGTCACGCGTAGCTCTCGAAGACTAAAAACTAAGTACGGCTACAACGGAGTCCGGTGAACGGGAAACGTATCACGTCGGGTTTTTGTCGATTCCCTAGTTACGCGACCCACAAAGGTTAAGAAACGCCCGGGTAGACGGTGCCGGAGCGTTGTTCGTTAACCGCTGTCAGTCCGGTACGCAATAATATAACAAGGATAATTATGATCGCAGTCGTGTAAGGATTCAGCAGCGCACGGCCGTTCTCGAATACGCACACGCTCAAAGAATGATGACCTGGAAGCTTGTGTTTGCCGGTGCCAGCCAAGGCGTACACACGGTCGTCCGAGCGAAGTCGAAGTGGTTGATATGTATCTCTGGAGATGGTAACGCGATAGACGCGGACGCACTGAGAGTGTGCGAGAGAGAGAGAGAGAGAGAGAGAGAGAGAGAGAGAGAGAGAGAGAGAAACTGGTTGTGGCGATAGAACCACTACTCCGTCACCCGTCCGGTGCGTTTCGTAGGCACGTGTCGGGGTCATTCGAAACGCCGTCGAATACGTGTACTACGATGATATATTGCAATATGTTAATACGCCTCTCGATCAGAATTTATTCGCGCCAGACCCAGCACACGATGACGATGACAAGTCGAACAGCGAAAAATCTAGCGTTTAAGATCCAGTTGAATTGATCACTAAACAAATCGGCCGTGATCCTTGACCGATAGACAATACGTACTTACATACGTCTTCGCAACAGAATTCTCTCGATCGTCCGCAAGTTAATAACGGTTTGCGGGTTTGCGTTTCGGCCGAATGCTAAACGCGTTGTTACAACAGTATCGTCTTTCCGCTTTGACACCCCCGACGGGTTCGAACAATTTTCAAACTCATCACCGATGATATACGTGCTATATACATACGTTCGTGACGGCCAATCGGTACCGAGTTCGACCGGATCTTACAGGTAGTCGTCACGGTCCGAAAACGTCTATACTCCTCTATTTTCTAGTTTCCTCTAGTTTTACCCGTGGTGTAAGATGGTACTACGTGCCGGTTCGACAAAAGTCCGAATAACGATTGGAAACGTGTTCGGTCCTGCCGATCACAACCGGCTCACCCGGCAACCCGGCTTTGATGGTTATCGGCAGTGCTCGACTTGGCAAAATTAAAGAAGGGCGACTCTATTTACTTTTTTGAAAAAAAAAACAGCGTCCCTAAAATTTTTTATATGTTATGATTATAACGTAACAATAGTAGGGTGGACGTTAAATTTCTGAAAATTATTAGGAGTATTCGGTCCACAAGACGGTGTTTTCGCGTTAATGTTCCTTCGTCACTGCACGCGCTTTTGCCATACCGTCCGGTAGAACGTCTCGTGTAGTACACTATAGCTTGTGAATAATGATTTTTGTTTTTTCTCACAGGTGTTCGCCTAGAACCGGGTTCCCGCCAGTGGACAACATTCAAAGTTTGTCGAGTCTGACCATGGTACCATGTTTGAGCCACGTAGACAAACAGACGCTGAGCCAATAGTGAAAGTCTCCCCGTTCATGCCTACACGAATAAATTATACGTATACACAGTCATATCTATATGCCTGTGTTTAAGTACACGAGCCGGTGCTGCGATTGTCGAGACGGATGAAAAAACGCATTTTTTTTTTATATATATTTATTAATGTATCTAATATATCCATGTGTATATGTGTGTGTGTGTAGTCATATGTACGCACTCAAAAGCACGTAAACAAATATACACGCGTACACACAAACACACACACACACACACAAACACACATATTATAAACATGATTTAACAACAAAATTGTGTTTGTAATCGACGGAAAAGAGATAATGAATTCTCTCGCACGCTCGTCACTACCACCGGACGCGGTCGAAGAGACATAAATTGTCATATACCAGCTAATCTGCAGTGCGTCTGATAATACGTCATTGGAATCCGTATTATTTATACGTGCATTTGTTTATTATGATATCGATGTGACGGGAAAAAAAATTGAATGTACGTGTGTAAAAAGTTTGTAATGTAATTGCATTTTTTTCTTTTTTATAGTGATATAGTTAATTTGAACCTTTTTTTTCTTATTTTTATTGTAATTTATTGTACGATACATATGGGTACATGCAATTTTTTTTTGTTCTTTTGTATTATGTATGATAACATTTCGTCGACAACGCGAGGCTGTTTTGTCGGCAAACGCAAACAATACGTACACGTATACACCGACGTATACTCGTATTATGCTGGCGACTCGGTTTTCGAACGGTCGAGAGACCGCACGGTGTTGTTTTCGATATATCTTATATCTATCATGTGTCCGCGTACTATTCTGTATAAAATTATGTATTTAGTAAGTATAATGTGAAACAATGTAATACTGTTATTGCGCGGTAGGTGTCAGCCGCGGCAATCGGGTTTCCTCTTATTTTATATGCAGTATTCGCGTAATAACAATAAACGTCCAATAGCGTGAAAATAATAATAATTATCGAAATACGTAAAACAGAATGTATTACTTCGCTTTGTGTTGATGCAGAAGTCGTACCGATGTGTTTGAAGGTGAATTTAATATTAAAACGATTGTGCTGTGCTTTTTATAGACAATGAACACGGGAGAAAACGTTATTCGAAGGTTTTCTTTTCAATTTTTTTTTCCACTACTTGAAAATTACGTTTCCGTCGAATGAATATTCTTTCTTGTTTTTTTTTTCCAAACGATTTGGGCAACAATTTTCTCTGCACTTATGGATAGTTGATGCTGCTGCTGCTGCTGTTTACTAAGTTTTCAACGAATTTTCGTTTGCGGTGGCGGCAGTCGTATATATTCGTAAGGGCTGTTTTCAGATAAATCGTCATTGTTGTTGTTATTATCATCATTATTATTATTAGTAATAATTTTTATATATTAATATTAATTATAAACGTATAAATAAATACAATATCGCGTATTATCCAATCTAGTGACTATAATTTATACATATTACGTTGGTTGGATAAATCCTTTTTATAAGAACGTTCATTAATGAAATCGATGTACCTATACAATATAGTCAAATGAAAAATATCTATCAATATATATACATATATTATTTATATAATAAATAATAATCGTAATCGCACATTTTCAATAGGAGTTTTCTTATTTATTTTAATAATAAAAATGCGCTGACGTGATAATTAGTTTCGGTTTTGTGTGTATTAATGAATTCTCCGAAACAAGCGCTGTCGCTTTTTATTTTTAACGGACTCTTGAAAAAAAGATGGGTAATGAATTATTATTATAATTACTATATTATTATTATAAATTAAATAGTTTCTAGTCATTCGTTAAATTTATTTAGCAAATTGTTTTGTTTTTTCTATAGACCAAAATTACGTTAAAAAATCAACAAGTTGTTGGCCTGTAATTATTGTGTTGAATTTGTTTGCTATCAAATTGTTGAGCGTAATTGAAACGACTGATCCGTATAATGTTGTTGTATAATCAGTCGGTGTACTAGTTTTGTCAATGGTGATATTATAGAAATAAATTTAAACAAAATTCATTTTTTTATAATCGTGAAAATGCTAAAACATCGTCCAGAGAGAGAGAATAGACACAGATAGTGTGAGTTAGTGTAAATGTGCTAGAACGAAAGAATGGATGAGAGTATAAAGAGATTAGTTAGAGTGTGCGTAAGGGAGAGAGAGAAAAGAAATAAAAGATAGGTAGTTTAATTTTTGACAAAAGACAAAATAATTATTCAATAGGGTTTTCGATACATTATATAGATAATAGTAGAACAGTATTTTTTTTTTCATTCTATAAATAAAATAATATAAATAATATATTCATGTGACCGACATTTGTAACGTTTATTACTTTTGTTTAATGTTTTTTTTTTTTTTGTGATTTTGTGTACAAATATCTCTTTGGTTTTTGTACTATATATAATGTAAATTTAACTATAATCATATTAATAATAATAATAATAATAATATTCATCTATATTATATTTACTACCAAAAAACACTCTTATTTAGAATTATTTGTATTTAATTAATTAATTTGTTATGCTTGTATAAAAAAACAATATTATAACAACATTCAGTGTGTATAAACAAAAATAATAATAATAATAATAATTATGTATATTATGTTTGTTTAAAAAAAAAAAAAAAAACGATGGCATAAATGCAGTGATATGTGGGTAGGGACCCAATTTATTTTATGTAATAATTATTTTAAATTGTTATTTTGGAGCGAATGAGCCACTGAAAACTATATAAAAAATAATAAGAAAAAAACGATGATACAAATGAATAAAAACATTTTATTAGCTAATTAAAAAATATATTTCTGTATTGTCAAATGTTTTGTTTGTTAATCAATTATCTAAATCTCTCCAGTCTTCATCGGTTGGGGGTGTAAACGATACACTAAAGGGCAGTTCTCGTTCTAACGCTTCGACCGTTGGAGTATTGAGGGGATTTTCCATGAGATCAACTTCTTTCAAATGCTTCAAACACGATTCTAATGTCCTTACATCTACATCTGAAATGTAAAATCGTTTTTTTAGTGCGAGTTACATATTATATTGAAATGTAATAAACTTTGCTTCAAATTATCACATTTTGACGGCAATGTCTACATGCAAACAAAGATATGGGTAAGCTTGTAGGTACATTAAAATATAGCTACAATTGTTTTTGTTTCAATAATGTTAAAAAACTATTGACATTAAAAAAAGACTGTTTCTAGTTTAAATAATAATATTTTATTTTGTATAAATAGGTTTGAAGTTTTTTTTTTTAATATTTTTTCATTGCTATTAAGAAATTATTGTGTTCGATTAACATGATTTTTTCATGTAGGCACGAGTAATTTACAAGATTTTTTTTTTATAAAAATCAATTTTGATAATCTTAACTTGCTATACGTATAAAATTATATTTTTTATTTTACATTATATTTATCATAGGTATTGGAAATCATTCACATTCACAACAATACTTAGGTACTCATTATCTATATCAAAATTGAAATTGTAATTACAATGTAATGCTAATGGACTAATGTTTGTACATTATTAATCTTAAAATCTTCAGCTTATTGAATTTACTATAAGACATGTATTTATAAATTAGTAGTATCCACATACCTACTTACATATTACACCCAATGCAAGAATTCATAGCCTCAGGTATTGGTACTTTTTTTTTTTTGATTTATACAATAAAATACTCCTAGCTTACGCTATCTGTATCTAATAATGAAAACGGTAGGAACATGTTTAGTCTTTCTAAGTGCGACAAATGAAATAATTTCTAATTATTATGAAGAAGTGATAAAGTTATTTTGGTGGCTTAACACTAAGTGTGTTTAAACAAGTAAGTCTTCGCTGAAGACGACGTTGGATCGGTAGTAGTATGTTAACAGTGCATTGATTCTGTTGATTTCTGAATAGACTTGAAAAATGAAGTGGTTTGATTATTCGATTGTGTTATTAATGAACATTTTTTTTTTTTTTTATTTATTTAGATATTTCTTTGTAATAACTACACCCCTTGTAGTTAGCTGGATGACTATTACCATAGTTAACACTAAGGAAGAGTTTTTTTTTTTTTTTTACGTATTGACTGAAATTACTACCATCTGGGTATTTTACACGCCGAGGAGAGAGATGGTAGAATTTTTTGGTTTGTGAAAAACGATGACAGTGAGCACATTATGGAGTATCTAGAAGATTTCCTAGGTTCGACTGATACAACACGATGTAACAATCTATTTAAGGAATATTTTTATTTTATTTGTTGATGCATTTGACAGCAGAACTGCAACAATAGGAATGGGACACTTAAAACGATTTAGTGAACAAGTAACGGATGTTACGTGAAAATTCAGATCTGATAGAGCTTTAAATATAGACTCTTTTGAAATTGAGACTGGGAGATTTCTTATGATTATGGATAGATGGTTGCCGTTAGGCAATTGATACGTGTAATATAGCATTTGTGAATCATCGAATTTTTTCGGTAATGGATCTATAATCGTTGATCGATAAGTTTAATTTTAGTGCGTTTTCGGTGTGATTGATAGTAAGATCGTCAATGATTAATGTAGATGATGGTTTATAGAAATTTTCAAAGTCTGTTATATTGTAAACATATATGGGCAGGGCCAGATCTAGGGGGGGGTGAACCGGGGCACTTGTCCTGGAAGTTTTGGTTGGGGGGCGCCAAATTACAAAATAAGTCGTGTATATATATTAATAGTTTTTATTAATTTTATAATAAAAGTATTATACAAATTACAATTTCTCAAGGCTGGGCAAGTTAACGGTTTTTTTAACTTGTTAAGTTAATATAAAAAAAAGTAAGTTTAGTTAAATTAAAAGTTAACTAATGTATTTTTAATAACTTCGTTAAGTTAAAAATTAATTGATAAAAAAAATTAACTTAATTAAAAATGTAATTATTTTCGAATCTGTAACCAAAACCAATAAAATGAATGACAAATTTGGAATTTGTGTCAAGCTCATGTGACCAATCATGTAGTATGCTAAGCAGTATTTACTGAGGATTTAAGGTGGGCAGTTGACGATTTTTGAATCAAAATGTTCAGAAATAATTTTTTCCCCATAAGTTATATTAATAATTTCAAGTAATTAATAAGTAATAACGTGTTTCTCGGGATGTGTGGCGTGTGCTTGTCACTAGGTATAATGAGTTATGGTTTACAAGAAAACTAATTAAGTACACGAACGCGACGTCGCGACGACTTCATAATATGATTACTATTATAATATTATTATTACCTAAACGTGTATAAATTTATATGTTCAATGTCCTTTTTCATTATATATTATGAAAATAATATACATATAATTTTAATTGTATAAAATATACAAAATATATAGTAATACCCAATATCATACAACTCGTATTCATAATGTGTATTGTGTATAGACGTATAGTACTAAATACTAAATAATGAATAGTATATAGTATATAGTATATACTGTAAGTATATTGAAATATTGTATAGACATCAACATTCAACATCAATAAACACAAATTTATTACTATAAAAAAAAAAAAAAAAATAGTTATAGTTAACTATAACTAGTAGTGGTGTGAAAAATCCGGATTCACCGAAGTTCGAAAATCCGGATTCATGAAATTCGAAATTCGTAATCCGGATTCGGAGAAAATTCCAGATTTCGGAATTCAAATTCGGATTTTACTCGAAATCCAGATTTCGGATTTTGAAACATTGAATTAATATATTTTATGGATTCCTTATATTAAAGCCTTGATAAATACACATTTTTTTTTTTAATGAATTAATATATTTAAAGAAAAACTTTTAAAGCAAAAATATAACAACAACAACAACAACAACAACAATTATTAATATTGCCATAACGTGTAGATATTACGACCTAAACTCAATTTATACATGAAATTAGTAACAACATTTATAAGTATCAGAATAATTTATCCAAAAAGACAGGATAAATAATACCTAAATATACTTTGTTCAACTAACAGAAAAGTACAAGTAATAATGAAAATATATACTTAATTACAAATATAATAATTTAAGTTTGAAAAATTATGATGAACAACGTTCAGAAAACTTGCTTTAGAATACAGAAATCCACAATGTGAAACCAAATATTCGGATTTTACAACTGAAAATCCAAAATCCGAAATCCGGATTTTTCGGATTTTCGGAGAATCCGGATTTATTTCACACCACTAGTATAATAACTAGTACTTAGTTATTATTACATGCGGGTGGGTAGTACCCACTGGATACCTATTACCTGGATACAGGCTATCCACCTAATACCTATATATATATATATTATATTGTGTAGGTATATAATATCAAACAACCGGTATTAATTATAAATTTTCCCATTTAATTGTAATGACATAATTTCTCAAGCCAACAATGAAAAAAAAATCAATGGTTTATTTAAAATTTTAAATATAACTTAATTTTAAGAAATATATATATAAATAATTAACTTGAAGTTAACATGTTAAATATGTTTAAAATTTAACTTATTAAGTTAAAAGTTAATTTCAAAAAAAAAAGTAACGAGTTACTTAATGTTATAACTTAATTGTAATTTTTAACTCGTTAATGCCCAGGCTTGCAATTTCTATTTCCATTTGACTTTATGGTTATAACAACAATGGGAAAAACTCAAAAACCCAATGGATATTATTTGTCTACTAAATATATTTTCTGTGACTCATTTTTGTATATTTTATTGCTAATAGGATATCTACGAACTATAAATTACGATAATCAGACAACACATGATGTTAAAATCCGATTAACAATACTGATAAATTAATTTTCTTCGACATGTAACAACTATCAAATTCAATTATTTCAATCGAAAATCTAACTGTCAAAAATTTAGATTATGACGATATAATTAACGATTTTGCCGCCAAAAAAGCAAGAAAACTCAAAATTTAATGATAATTTGTTTGATTATTGTATAATGATTATTTTCATGTGTTAATTTGTTATAATTTGTATTTAAAGTTTTTTATTTATACATATTTTTTCTAATCTAGAAAACAGATATATTTTTTTCTTTTATTCTTTTCGATTTTTTTCTTTAGAGTTTAACTGGTACATAAGTATAATTGTGGGCATAACAAAGGGGGAGGGCGCTAATTTTATACTTTGCCCCGGGTAAAATATATACTAGATCACTGTATATGGCACCGGCACTGTATATGGGTGGTATTTTTTGACTAACCTCATCCTGTTGATTATCTTTACCTTCGCTAGAAGTAGCAAGGTTTATGTCAGTTTTGTCATTTAAGTTAGACAGAGTAGAATAGCGATTTTTGGCTGTAACGCGTTTTTTTTATTTATCACTGGTATCTACCATTTATCAATTATTACTGATTTTTTTTTTTTTTATACCACTTGTATTTTACTTTTTTATATAGTACGTATAATACAATATTATACAATATGTATTGTACAATTTATATCACTGATGGTAGTAGGTTCCAGAGGACCCAGCACCATTCCCAGAGGGCATGCAGATTTAGTTGACTGTATTAGTCGTCAATAGCGCAATTATATAGGCTCAGAGAAACATAATTATGACCTAACGCGAAGACTATCGATAACCAACTGTGACTTTATTACTAAATTCATACAATTACAAAGATACATAATTACATATAAAACATGTTTCTTCATACTTATTTTTATTATACTTATTTATAGATCTGATTTCATAATAGTAAACTTATGAAAATAATGAATAAAATCTTGTTATACATTTAGTTAGTCACAATTAACGGAAACAAACAATCAGTGCACTTTAATATTTATCGAAGAGAAATTTTTCTTTTCTAATCAGTTCACAACGCATTATCCATGCATATTACCTAACCGGTATTTATCACCGGTAAACTACTACATTAAAGCCAATGATATGTTATAGCAATTAAAAAAAAAAAAAAAAAAAAAAAAAAAAATAATAATATTGAAAACCCGTGCACGAATTTATAATCGATAGTCATATTAATTACTGGAACATTTGTACTATATATCGTGTAAATATTTATAAACGTATTGATAATTAGTTAATCCATTAGGTATTTAAACGTTTAATATTCAGTTTTACTTACCTATAATAAAGTTATTATTGGCAATTAAACTTGTTAATTCTGATAGACGAGAGACTGGTTCGGGTAACTCAATGAACGAGTTGTATGATATGTTCAGCTTTTGAAGACTTTTCATTTCGGACAGTTGTTCTGGGAGTTTACTGATTTGATTATGAGATAAATTCAACTCTAGAAAATAGAATAAACAAATACAAATCAAACCAACATCGAGAAACGATAGGTGATGTTTATGTTACATTGTGACTGTCAAAGTGTAGCGTGGACCGTGGGCTATAGTTTAAAACATAATTTATTTTGTTGTTAAAATGGTGTTCAAGCAATAAACAGCTTTACCGTGCAAACAGGTAGTAGGGGCATAGGCGCAATTAAGGGAGCGCAATAGGGTTTTTAGCACCCCTAAGTTTAAATGAAGCACTCTTGTTTTTTTTTTTTTTCAGATCTATATAATCTATAGTCGAGTAATTACAGTGAAATACCGTTCAATTTTATTTTCAGAAATTTCAATACTTCAATTTGGACTCTAGTTTCGTTCATGAGTAGGGGCACTACAAAAATATTACGCAATCACCGCAAAATCTCAAAGCTGTTCTTCGATAACTTGACAGTAACAATCCTGGTTGTAGCAAAATATTGTGATTTCGTTTTCCTAATGTTAAAATAATTGTGAACACCGAACGGTAAAAACACTTCACGGTACACAGTCGCTATGTTAAGCAAGGGTGGTTTTATCATCAATTACGTCATGGAACGAACACGAACATTCGAAGGGACATCATCGGTTTAGATGACTATTACTAGGTACAATGAAGTACATTCCACTCTATGTGTATATATCGCCCACGTTATTATACCAGTCGTCGATCGTTTAACATTTATACGAACTCGAACATGCATTTCAGTTTGGATATAAAGATCACGAGCAAAATTTTGGCACAAAAGGTAGTGTTTAGAGTAGGTAAACAAAATGCCGTACCTATAGGTCTTTGACCGCATCCTTCGAAAGATATTGCGTAAGTAGGCGCGTGCACGGACGACTATTTCGATAGATGTCTTAAGTTTTTAAGGGCTACGGTTGCACGAGGGAAAATTGTATTCAGTCACCTATCTATCTATCTAACATCAGCGTTACGTGTACAACAACTAGTGACTGTTAAGAATGCGTATAAAAATACAAACAAACATTATTTCATTTTTTAAATTTCGTGGAGGGAAGAGGGTTTAACCCATAAAAAATTATCTTTTACACGCGTCTGATGGTATGGACACCGTTCACACTGCTTGGACGTTGTTTTAACGAATTTAGTTTACGCGACAAATTGGCTATAGCACACGGCCAATATGCACCGGAGAAATGTGTGTTAAAGTCGCATAAAATATTACGAAGTAGACATTTTTTCAAAGTGAACCTAGAATATATCGGTAGATCGCATGATTTGTAATACAATTATTATTATTAGTTCGGAACAAGTTAAAAGATATAGTTTTCCCGTCGTAGCCGGTGCGGGTAGCTAATTTAAATATTTTCAACACGAAAAAGAAAAAAGAAAATGTAAGTAACTATATTTTTCTTAGCTCGGGTGATTATCTGTATTGCTTAACCAATGATTTCTACGTCGTTTATGAAAATCGAATAGAAATCGGAAATTTGTTTAATTTCTTTTATTTTCCTTTCAAAAGAATTTATTCGTGCATCGATAACACGACGGTATATTATTGTCCCGGCGGAGTAAATTAATTGATTTGAGGTTTCGAAATTTATCACGTTATGTTCCGGGTCACGCGTGTCTGCGGATGCTCCGTAAAAATAACAATAGTCCAGCACGCGATCCGTGGAAATAAATCAACACTGTTCACACACAATATCGCACAACTCAAACCACGAGATTTTCAAACGAATACGTTAACCGTTACACAAAATGTAATTCTTTATCTCTCCCCAAAGTTTTACAATTAATTATAAAATCACTGTTAACGTATCGGCAATATTAATACCGTACGCCCACTTTGAATTTATGTTTGAATACGTTTTTTGCACCGAAATACCGACCGGTACACGGGTACAACGTGGTGTGTACGTTGAATACAATACGATCAACAACCGATTTTTATCGTCTCGTCGATTTTGTTGTCTGCGGTGTACAAACGGTTTGGTCGTATTGTCCAACAACGGGTGTCAGCTGTTTCCAATGCCGGTTAAGCTGTACACGCTGTATTCAAATATGACGTACACTCTCTTTGTACTGGTCACCGTCGTTAATTCTGTATAGAACGCGTTGGTTCTTAAAACGTAAATAATAATCAGGACATATAGATGGGGGGGGGGGGGTCTAAAATAGTGTGTACTCTGAAAATTAAAGTGTGCAGTCTGAATGACAAATGTGTGTACCAAGTTCTTACATTATTGACTGGAATAAAAATTATTGATGAAATAACAGTGAAAAATGAAACATAATAACTGTAATATATAATCTCACACAGTAATACAACTATTAATATCTATTAATAGCACAGGTGAATTCATACAACTGCCTATTATATTATTATTATATTCAAATATCGTTTAAAATTTTACAAGTATATTATTGTAAAAAAGCATATTGGTATAAAGTTACGAGCAACAATCGGAAATTATCACTCGAGTAAATTAAAAATGTTTATCAAAGAAAAAACTAAATCGAACTGACGAAGAAATATTAATGCTATTCGAGATTTTGTAATTAAACTGTCGATATATTGACTATAATTATTGTACAGTGTTACCGTCAATTTGTGAGTCGATATGTACCTGTTAACGGTTAGTTATTAGAATTTATACAATATAAATTATATCTATTCGTTTCAATCATGTTGGTAATTTTCTATTATTGTATTTGTTTTTAAATATGGCATTTATAATAAATTATTGTACTCGAATAATGATCTTGATAATATACCTTGTGATTTGAACGATTGAAGTTATGTTCTACAAGTTATTAAACACGGATGTGCATATGATTAATAATTAATAATTATTGTATTTTAATTGTGTCTTATAGCTAGTTATTTCTTAAAATCATCAATCGAATAATTAATTTAAAATAACAATTTTGTAAAACTATTTTAGTTATAATAAGACATAAAAAGAATATAATCATAAGGTTTTCAAAATCGGGTTATAATATTAAATAACGTGGTATTTTATAATTGGTAACCACTAAAAAAAAAAAACCCAGATGAAATCTATTTTTTGTATAGCTTACAGTCACTATAGTTATTATTTCCTGGTTATTACTTTAAAAAAATGACTATTTGATTTTAAAATGATGGTGTTAAGTATTCTACTAGTAATTTAACAAAATCACTGATAATTTTAATAAATCAAATGTTAATAAGATCATGATTGTTCATTTTTCAATCCATATGGATGATCGTATGGTTTCGTAGAACATCTAAAAATCAAAGAGAGGTACAATTTGAATGAAGAGATGCAAGTTTCGTGGTAATTTCCCGTCTAGTCTAAATAAAGTGATCAATGAATTATAAATTCGATAATCGTCCAATGCCGATCACAATAACAATAACACGGTACATACGTGCGTTGGATGAACGCACAATGACATAGTATTATTATTTTAATCTAACGAACGAATTTTGTTGTAATAACATGTTTTGGGTTACAGGTTTCCTTTCATAATTACATAACAGTACATATGTAATTCGTACGTATGAGTGCGCATTGCGTTTTCGTATACTTGTATGTTTGTTTTGTACTCGCCTGTAATACTCGAAAACCGTTCGGCGAACTTCACGGGCAGCTTTGAAATGACATTGTTCGACAGATCGCACTTGATCAAATGCGTGTTCTGCAGGAGCAGATAAATAGCGTCGGGGATCTGCATCAGCTGACATTCGGACAAGTCTGAAAATTATAAATCAAACCGTTTAGTCGCGTCGTGGTACCGCGGTTTCTTTTTCGTTTAAGGATGTTTAAGGTCTTTCACGAAGTACATATATTATTATGATTATTATACACGCCGTTGTGCAAGCAATCGGTCGTTTCGCATTTACAGGAAGTCCAGATGTAGACCGTTGAAGGTCACGCCGTTACCGCGGTATATCTTTCCGTACGTACCCGGACGGTTTCAATGTCTGTCACCCATATATGGTGCATAATATCATTTGACGCGAAACCGGAATGGCGAAACAATAACGACGCAGCGCTTGTAAAAATACAATATATTTGCGAGAGATCTGTGGTTGAAAAAAAAAAAATTAATATTATTTTAATACGTAATCCAGGAACTCGAAAACGTTACATACTATATATATATATACATTGCATTTGTTTTTAATGCAAATAATTTATGCGTATGGTATTTTTATTTTTGCTCATAAAGTCATGAACGAGCGTCACGCGTTAGTTTTATGTACTATATTGCTGTACTTTATGGTTATGATTTTATCTATTTTCATGTAATACCTACACGTCAACAGAGCCGTAGCAACCAAATATTGCGCCCGGGGCGATACTTCAAAACGCGCCCTTATGTATGTATCATTTAAAATTTTTATTATAATTAAACATTATTTTCACTCAAATTATTTTATAAAATAACTTTTTAATACTAAAACAAAGAGAACGTTGAAGTTTTTGTAAATAAAATACACAACATTGACCAGTGTATTTTTTGAGATAAAATGCAAATTTTTCAATTCTTCGCCCTTCCAGAATTGCGCCCGAAGCGTATGCGCTTCTCGCCCCTTCCTTGCTACGGCCCTGCGTGAAAATATAATTTAATGATAATAAACGGACTTTTAAGGACACTTCATGGATACGATGCATAGGTAATAATTATGTTTTGATGGAATTAAATAATAATTTCAGTACTCCGTTAAAATAATTAATTATTTTACGACAGTTGAAATTTTCGATGTTTATTAACTACGGTTGGTTCGATAAATTTGTGTTTTGATTTTTACTCAAACACGACAATTGCGAATAATAACGAAAACTGCGTAAGAACTGTGTTTGCGGAAACGTAAATAAACTTTCATGGTCAAACATCTCTACGCCGTTACAAATGCATATATATCTAAAGAAAAATGTTATTGTTTAGTTTCAGCAAGTCGATAAAATAAAGTTTTGAAATTATGTCGTATAATTTAGTTTACGATTTTTTTCATATCTATAAATTGCGTTTGATAAAATAAACTTCTAAATTATTCCACTAGATGTAACAATAATAACTGTAAACTGTAATATCTAATGATAAAATTATAGTTCTTCGAATTATTCTCTCTCGTGTATACATTTTATTGTATTATATCGTTTATCTCTATCAAGCGATGCACCGATCATAGTCTTTTATAGTTTTTAGGGAAGTTTAAAAATTGCATCACCTGTGTTATACTTGTTTTTTCAGCTCCATTTCCTTGACACCCCCACTCTGGAATTCGGAAAATTTAATTCAATAATTCATTTGTGCACTTATTTCTGAAGTTTGTACTTTCATCGTTCTCGTGATATTCAAAATTTGTTGTGGGGGTGTCAAGGACATGCTTAACACCCTCACTTTGGAATTAGGAAAATCAAATTCAATAATTCGTTTGTGCTGGTCTGTACACCTATCCCCGAAGTTTATACAAAATGTTCTGGAAGTTCTGTCAAATAAAATCTAACATTTTTATACCCACCACCAGAGCCGTACCAAGCCATTTTTTACTCTGAGGCAGAACTGAAGCAATGTCCCCTCCCTAGGTTTTAGGTTTGTCACACTCATAGCTTTTAATATGTATGATACAATTCGGAAAAATCTGAAAAATTGTAATTTGGTTTCTAGCAAAACAAGAAATAACATTATTTCTTAAAATAAGTTAATTATATAAAACTTTTGCGCCCCCCAGCTTCAGACGACCTAGGCAAGTGCCTCACTCACCTCAGCCTAGTTACGGCTCTGCCCACCACTCAATGAGAAATAGACGGAGTACATAAAAAAGAGACTAAGTTAAAAACAGCTACTTTTCAGAAGACAAAAAAAAACAACATCATAATTATATAATAATATCTTCAACCATTGAGAATATTAATATGATTAATATAATAATTAGAAATACATTTTAAAATTAAATTATATTAAAATATGATTGATACTTATGGTTATATACAAAAAAAAAAAAAATTGTACATTTACTTAGGTACATTAAAATTAGAAATTTAAAAATACAATAAAATTCCTAATGACAAATTTAAATTTCTTCTTCGTCATAAATAATAAGACTCAGTAATTGTTTTGGTTTTAAAATTAATATAATGCTATAATGTAACATTTTGGTTATTAGGGGTGATAGATTAATGATACATTTTTTTTCATTAGTTATTTGTAACTTTTTTTTGTAAGCCATAAGTAGATTATTAAGTAATAATTTTTCTCCATACCAATCTAATTTTTAAAATTCGTTATTTTCTTTAACTATTGTTTTATAAAAACCAATATTATTTCTCTCTAAACCATTTTACCTCACTAAACACATTTTTTTCTTCAATCGTACTGTTTTTTGCCATTTTATATAAATTATTTAAGTCGTAAAAATAATTTGATTTGATGTCTTTCACATTAAATTAATTTTTTTTCGCCAATGAATAATTGCTGTCTAATTATAATGATTTATAATAGCTGAGTACTTTTTACTCGCTGTTTCTATCTTTACACGGTCGATTGCATTTCATACGTGTATGACCAGAAATCAATTATTTGTGGTCAATTATTCAATTACTAAAAAACATTATAAATTTCATACATCAAATAAAATTCAATATTAATTTATATAAATAAAAATTTCTCATGTCTGGCTTAGTTTTATTGGTAATCTTATGGATTCTTAATATTATATCTGCTTGGTAGTAGTGGTATAACCTAACGATAAAGACATGACTAATCAGTAGAAACGCAAAATTACTATTTTAGTTATATGGACACTTATAGGTAAACAGTTACAGTCCGCGAATCTATCAAATGTACACAGCCGCCATGTGGTCCATCGATGGATAATAGATATTAAATGAAGTAAACTGGTGGTTTTTTTTTTTAATAATATTTTATTTTCATTTTTGTTAAAAAATTATTTAGTTATTTAATTTACCTAGTCTTGTCAACATTAAATTCATAATCGTTTTGATCATAGAATAATAATTTAAATTATGTTATCTATGATGGGGTAACCATTTTGGTTATTGATATCCGCAACATCTTAGTTTTTGCTATGAATGTGTCTACACAATTATTAGCAATTCTCATAGTTGATTCAATCATAATTGGAATTCATAAGTAATCAATCAATGATAATTTGATTATCCAACAAAAAATAAACTTAAATTTAGAATGAAAGATCTAGAATGATTAATATTATTAGATTTATAATATTTAAGCCGAGAATACCATTGAATGTGAGAAAATAAGTAGCGTATAGTTGTGACTTTATGACGATGTATAAATTTACCTTTTAATAATTTAATACATTAATAAGAATCCTGGGTGGATATATCCCTTAACGTAGTACCACTAAATTCAATTTTCTGGATATTTTAAAAAATTTGAGCTGTAACAATTTACCGAAAACATTTTTTCTTTAACAAATTATACACAAATAATAACATAAGTAGGTCATAACAATAACTACAAAAATAGTTAGTCGTAACAATAACAATAACAATAAATGTTTGTAAAATTTAAGTTGTACCAATTTATCGACGACTTATCGTTCTGCACAAAGTTTAAAAATAAACGAACAAACCAGCACAAATGCATGATAAAATTTAATTTTCAAAACTCTGAGGTGAGGGTGCTGAGTATGTCCTTGGCATCCCCGCGACAACATTTTTAATATCTCGGGAACGATGAAAGCACAAACGTCGGGAATATGTACATAAACCAACACAGTAGTATGACCGAATTTGATTTTCCAAATTCCAAATTGAGGGTGCCAAGAAAATGGAGCTTTTTTTTCGTTTTTTATACACACACGAATAGTGAACATTGATATCGCACCCGATATATGTGCACCGGAGTGGATTTTAAACGCGATCAAATTGATTCCGGTTGTTCTTGTTTGACGATAATTTAATTGGTACATTTTTATTGTTAACATAATAATGGAAAAGGAAACGCTTTCTTTTGTTAAGGAAACAGGCATAGATTTTCACGTTGATACATTACGTGCTACATTAGTACGGTCGAATAATTAGGCCGAACGAGGTGAAAGTGAGGAAATCACGACTCGCGCACGACGAAATACAAATCTGGAAATATTAATTTTTTCGAGTAACGATTTACAGAAAAACCATTTTTAACGGTTTTTTTTTCTCAAAGATTCGGGAATTAAAATACATATAAAATATGTAATTTACGAACATTTCATTGAAATACATAATACGTGTATTACCGTTATTGTTGTGAAAATCGTGGGCACTTCAGATACGCAGAAATCATACCGACCGATGCGGTGTATTGCGTATTAGAAAACCTAGATACGTATTTAAAGTTTAAATAAAGTTAAATTTCAAATCATAACCCGATGGTAAAAATAGTTCATTTGGACGGAGTACAGTCGAAGTTTTTAGGTGCACCTACCTACGCACGGTATCGAATCTCTCAACCCGTGTTTGCGCGGCGCGCGAAACTCCATAATTTCACTGACAAACGCTTTGACGTGTATAAACGTGTAGTCCTCGAGACTTAACTTCGTGTCCAGTCGTTCGCTAAGCGTACACGTTTCACGCAGAAAACGATTGGCCGTTTGAAACCTTTGGACGGTTCGGCCAACAATCGAAATGCGGTTCAACTGAACTCTAAGTGATTCATCGATCACGTTCAAAGGACGGGAAAACATTTTCATCGATCCAGCTGGGATCTTTCCGTTTCACTGCCAAGTGTCGTTGCCGTTATTTCGAATGAGGCGGAGTTTTCTTAGCTCGCAAACGGTCCGACTGAAATATCCTGAGCGCATCGAACGACCGATTCGAATCGGTAGAACAAATGTCCTTCCCCCCCCCCCCCCTGAGATCTATGATACTGGTGCTAAAATGCGTTTTAAATGTCTTTCCGTTCGATCGTCGACGGGATATTCACGTGTTATCAACAAGAACGCGTGATCGTCGTGATCTAGCGGAGTCTACGTCGCATCCAATCGTGTACGCGCGTGCGTCCTGCAGGACACCGTCGCGCTCCGTTCGTTTTTTTCCACCCCGTCCCGCGGAACCAGCGCGTCGCTCACCCAAATCGTTGCTCTCCTGCGCTTCGTTGCACCGGTTCACGACACGGATCACCGCGTTCCCGGCCAGTCTGGTGGACACCAACATGACCGCGGTCTGCTGCTGCTGGCTGTCGGCCACTTCCACCTCGGCGTCTTCGATTTCCTGTTCGATCGGCGGCCTCATCTCGTCGGCTGCGGTGGATTCGAACGAAAGTAAACGTTTATCGCGTATCCGTATACAATATCTCCGACTTTGCTCTGCGGGTACTCGGCACTGTCACCGCGTGTCCGCCGAGAAAAACGAATATCCGTACGAGGACACAGACGGCAGCGGCTAGAGGAAAATATCCTCAAACGGACGACGGTTAAACGGACGGACTGGGGCGCGCGCGCACACTTCTGAACGTCACCGGACGCGGCACGGACCGGACTGCCGACCCGTTCGGTAATGGTCTGCGGCGGCGATCGCGCGCCGCCGTCGATATATAGCCGCGCGCGCGTTGCGGTTCACCTCGACCGCGCGCGGTTATGTTTAGCTTTTGTTATTTTTAGTCGTCCAAGCGCGCACGTCATCTCCGGTATTGACTCCGAGGACCACGTACGCGTCTCCGATCTCCTTTGTGACACACGCGCGTATTATATTTATCCCGCGCACGTGTTACCGTCCGCCACTTTTTTTCTCACCGGATTGTAACGATGTCGTCGCGCGTCCGTTGGTCCGGCATAAAGCCGCGCTTTTGTGTCGCGTTAAAACAAAACCGCGCGCCGTTGCCAAGAAAAATCCTGGGGAACACGGGAGAACAATGTTTCCGCGCCACAAAGGCATCAGTTGGTCCGTTTTATTTGTTCCGCGGTGTACGCTCACCGTCATCTCGTGTCACGGGCGTTCGCCCCCTCCTCTAAATCCGTGTTTAAGGAATTTGTTGTATGTGAGATACAAATTTCAAATTTTTTCCTAATGTGGATCGTTTTATAACGAAATCGAATTACGCGTGGTTGTCAATACTGATTTGGTGGGCTTTTTGTCGGGTCCATACTTAGTGAAAAGAAATCAAATAAAACACAAGCGTAACTTTCAAAACACCGACAGGTGTTAAAAAAGAACTTCACATAAGTCGGTTCTGAGTGGATCCGGCATTAGATTAAAAAAAAACCAAAAATATTAAGGATTCGCCTGATTTAAACATTACCAAAAATTTTACTTGTACATTTTGTGCCTGTATTAAAGAAAAAAATTGAGTCCCCCCTGCCCCCTAGAAGTAAGTCTTAATACGCCCCTGCATCATGTCGATAGGTGTTCGGCCGGGCCACTGCGGTTCCGAAAAATCGAAATGCGCGGTTGTTACGCCACTGAACACATAGTTCCACGTCGTGATCCGCAACGATTTTCCGTCGTACGATCGAGTGAAACATTGGTTACCGATGTGCACGTAGTGCGTTGTCGGTTTTAATTTCTAAAATTTCAACTTTGTGTACGATGATCTGAGACGGAATAATATATTTAATTTTTTTTTATTACAACCGATTGGACAGATGTACATTTGGACACATCGGATGTACGGTACATTCTGAGTAAAAAAATAATAATATTTTATCAAACTATTACATGTACAAAATATACATATCTTTTGTTTACAATTAATATTATATTATTCAATACGTGAATTCTCGACAAATTATATCCAAGCACACCTCGTTTACAATTTATTTATACACTTTTTATACTGTTTACAGTTAACATATGTATAGATCGTACATGAAATACATTTTAAATTCACTACATAGTCAGTGCCGTAAAAATCATAGGTTCAGACGGTGCACAGCATTGTGGCCCGCAGGGTCAAAGGACCAATAGCAGATAACCGTCAATTTTTTTTTTTTTTGAATTTGATTTAATTTGATTTATGATTATTGTATTATTATCTTGTATTTAATTTTATATAATAAAATGTAAAATTCTGGTCTTTTATTTGGGATTATTTTTGTAAATATGTATTGGGAAAAATACTAAGCCTGGAGTAACATAAATAGATTACTTTTATATTTTATTGTAAATAATATTTATAAAATCAATAATCTATATTGATATTATATACTTTATCTATCTTTGTAGTTTATTCTACAAGTTTTTTTTATTAATGAAATCCATCCAATATACAATTGTGATATTGTATAGATACCTACTAAGTTGAAGTTTTACACAGAATTGTTTCAGCAAGAAAATTATCTATCGGTTCTTTAAAATTCAATAAATCCACAAATACTGTCCGATCTAATGAGTAAAAAATTCCCATAGCCTGAAGTCAGTCAGACTTTTTTATGCATCTCAAGAAAGAGGGTCCCGTGTACATTTGTCTGCTCCTGGATCTTTAGCATTCTAGTTACGGTACTGTACTTGGTTAGTTAGTTATTAAAATTGTGAGTATCTTCTCACGATGATTTGAATATTGTTTTATAGAATTGTAAATTTATAATTAAACAAAAAAAAACAAAAAATCCATTATTAATGTATTTTATTTATATTTTTATAAAATCCGTTGAATTGACTCTCAAGACAGTTTATATTTGCTAAAGATGTCGCGTGAAATTATCATAAAGCTTTTGAATAACTTATACGAATGTAACAAGTTAAAGCGATAGCTCGGAGTTTTAAATATTTGATTAAATACGACTTTATAATTTAGTACAACCAACGATGTTATTTTATTATGTAAATGTATGTAAACCAATCTGTAAACAATTGTTTTCAATTTTTGTAGAACTCGGTTGTACAATAACAGTAAACACGTCGACTTCTCCCGTCACACCGTACGTGTAGCCTTTTGTTCTAACATTTAGTGTGAACAATGTGTACACCATGCATTAAAGTGAATATTTCAGCCGACTACCGTGAGCTATAGAACGATAAACTAAAAAAACCAAAGAATTACATATGGTATTTGCTTTTTGAACGCGGTCACACGAATTAGTAAAACTTATTGATATGATTTGAAAATGTTCGAACGTACGCATTGTTATTACATCTGTATTATACAATTTATTGGTACAGATATACACACGGTTATTTTAGAAAACGTGATTTATTTTGTCCAATTGAGAAAATCGTGTTGTTCTTGTTTTATCGTATTTTACTGTTCGTCACCTCTAGCTGGTGAATATTGGCGTATAGATTTCGCTTCAGTACACATTCGACAAATACGTCATAACACATTATACACACGATACGTTACACGTATAAATTATAACTCAGCCGTTGCATTGATGAAACGTGTTAACACAACGTGGTTTTTTTGTTTGTGGGAAGTTTCATTGAATTCAAGCGGTTTTGGTCGAATTTATAACAGTACTAAATAATCTGTACACACCCGAGTTTTGAAACTCCAATATCGTCAATTTAATCGATTTGGAAATACGTTTTTTATTAAATGAATGTGTCATCGTTAATATCGAGCTTCGGTAATTCAGCTAATGTCAACACTGTAGGTTATTATTTTTGTCCTTCGAAATGTATTTGTAGCAAAAGCTGCATAATCGTGATTTTATCTTCCCGAAACAATATAATATAATCGATTTGAATCTTTAAACGTTTAATCAAAAGGCACAATGATTATGTAATTATTCAGTTTGTATTTTTTGTTCGTAAAATTTTATTTTTAATCACATATTCGTATCATTGTTTTTAGTTAATTTTACTGTATAGTTTGCGAAAAACAAATATACAATTAGTCATGTCACCACTGTGACTACTGTTATAAGGGAACAAAGAAAGACTAAAATATAATCTTTATGAATTCACGTCCGGATTTTACAAAAAGCATTATAGTAATTTGCAAATATGTAGTTTGTGCGCATGTCATTTCTGATGCCAAGCAATGAAGTGAACTATAACGGAATACATGTTAGGTGTACAATAGTTCATACAGTTGGTGATTGGAAAGCGGTATTGGCATCACATTTTCTATCAGTTCATGAAATATCTGCCAAAAATAAAGCACGACAAGAAGAAGAAAAATAATCAAAAATTGCACAAACAATAATGAAATAAAAATAAATTTCTTAAAACAAACTTTTAGAATTACAACCGTATCGAAAATAAGTTAGATGCCGTTAAAAAAACTAACTATATATAAACTAAATTTTTCATATGTGTTTAAAGGTAAATACAATTTTAAATCCATGTAGTTGTCCGGCCTTAATGCTCCTGCAAAAAAAAAGAATAGCTACAAAAATATTGCTTACGAGTTAAGGATGTACCCTGTTTGTTTCTAAATATTTATTGATATAATTGAAAACAAAATCTATAAAATAAGTTGTGATACGTCGTAAAAAACATAGCATACAGTTTTGGTTTATTGATATTAAAGAAGTTACGAGGTTTAAATGAAAAACCACTCGTGCATTCTACGTGATACGTAGGGCACATTTTTCTGATAAAATAAATATAATTAAAAAAATTCTTGTAAATTATTTTTAAAATACAAAAATACTTTTCTATAAAGCATTTGTATTCAATTTTACATCTAAAAATCAGACTACTTGAATCCTTTTTCTTTTTTATATTTACTTCACAAAGTTGAGTTTAAGAGAAAATGAAGAATACAATTGTAATACATGCAGTGCGTTCCTCGTTCCGCTCAAAATCTAAGAGAATAACCGAAGGTTATGAACATATACATATTTACATAAGAGCATATTTTTAAACGTTTACCATCAAAACATTAACCCACTTATTATTAAAATCCATGGTCAATCTATGAAAAAAGAAAATAGTCATATATTTCGATTTTTTATAAAGCGTGGAAAAACTGTTAGTATAATTACAACTCGGGGATATATTTATAAATATTTTATGTTAGTTCCTGAAATTATTTTGTTTGTGTTTAGTTTTACGAACAATATATTATTTAATATTTACGCGTATACCAATTATATTCTCAAGGGTAAGAAAAGTAATAAATTTTCAACACACGATGACGTGCTCTAAAATTCTATAATATTTCGTTCATGAACTTTTAGGCATTCGGCCAGGATTTCCATGTGGTGGTTTCCATAAATCTATCGAATGACCTTCTATCATGAACATCGAGTAATATGTTTTTATCTTGTAAAATTGTTTATCACATGTTCTTTAGATTTTGAGAAAAATGAAAAAAATTACTTACTGATATTTTAATTACTAATCCAACAGTTTTAAGATATTCAAAATATTATATTAGATACTACTTCTTTTCGTATACCGGGATGGTATGAGTGAATTTATTTCGACGCAAAGCAAATTTTCTTTTATAAATAGTACTTATTATAGATGTATCTTATAGTTAAGCATCAGGATTTTATTGTCTGTGGGAATAAAAAAAAAAAAAAACTCTTGTTTTAATCACCCGAAAAATAATCCTATATTAAAAACAATCAACATTGTTAACTCGATTAATGTAAAAAAAAATGTTTAAATATTTAAAACTTTCAAAAGTTCAAAAATA